CACCAGCTGATCAATGTTGGGGAGAGGGAACGGGTCCATGGGGCATGCCTTGTTCAGGTCAGTGTAATCAACACACATTCTGAACGTCGGCGGTTTCTGGGCGAGGACGATGTTGGCCAACCATGTCGGGTACTTCACCTCTTTGATGTGTTTGATTGAGAGGAGCATGGCGACCTCCCCTTTGACGAAGTCCCGCCTGTCGGCGGACAAGTAGCGCCGCTTCTGCTTGACAGGCGCTGAGGCCGGATCGACGGTCAGCCGGTGAGTGATCACCTGGCGGCTGATGCCTGACATATCGTCCGGGCCCCACGCGAAGACAACGGCGTATGACCGTAGGACGAGGAGGATGGCGTCTCGTTGGTCCTGGGGGAGTTGCTTTCCGACTCTGAGAACCCGCTCCGGCCGGGAGGTATCCAGAGGGATTTCCTCGACCTCCTCGGCCGGCTCCGCATGTGGCCTCTCCTCGTTCATGGCGACGGCGGCCGTGATGGTGTGTATCCTCTGGCCTTCCCTCTCGGCCGGCCTCGTCAGTTTGAGGTAGCATGCCCTGGCTATCCTCTGGTTTCCTCTGGCGTAGCCGATGCCGTCGTCGGTGGGGAACTTCAGGCACAAGTGCTTCATGGAGATGATGGCCTCCAAGTCCTCCAGCGCTGGCCGCCCCAAGATCAGGTTGTGGGCGCACTGGAGGTTGACCACCATGAACTCCATGTTAATTCTGGCGTGGTGGGGGCCGTCACCGACCTCCACGGGGAGGACTATCGTGCCCTCGGCGTCGATAGAGTCCCCGGTGAAGCCGGATAACGGGGTCTTGATCGGCTTCAGCAGAGCTCTGTCCAGCTTCAGCTGCTTGAAGGTGTCCAGGTACATCACGTTGACGGAGCTCCCCGTATCGATGTAAGTACGGTGGATGATGGAGTCACCGATCTCACATCGGATGACGAGGGCGTCCCTGTGTGATTCCGTACCCGGAGGCAGATCCTTGTCGGTGAAGGTGATCGCCTCCGTTCGCTACCTCTTCGGCTGGGGGGGAATGTGGGACACCTCCCCAATGTAAAGGGATTGGGCCCATTTCTTTCTCTGAGTGGCGGAGTCCCCCCAGTGTTCCCACCTACGATGAGGTGGATGTGATTCTTCTTCGGCGGGGGCTCTTCGAAGTCCTCGTCGTCGCTGAGCCTACCAATCTCCCGCTTCTTCGCAGAGGGTTCGCCCCCATGTTTGCCGGTGTTTACCCAAGTGTTCTTGCGTGGGCCACCTTTGACAAACTGGGAGAGTTCCCCCTAGCGAATAAGGCGCTCGATGGCCTTCTTCAGTGTGATGCAATCGTCGGTGTTGTGCGACGAGTTCTTGTGGAACCGGCAGTATGTGCCGCCCTGCTGGATGGCAAGGATCTCCTCGGCCGGTCGAGGAGCCTTCTTGATGAGGCCGTGCTTTTCGGCATAATCGAGGATGGTGCCGACCGGGTGGGTGAGGGTTACCCCCGGCCGTTCCAACCTCGGCCGCCAGTGGCGATCCTTCTTACTCTGTCCACCAGAGCCGTGACGGCCCTGGGCACCCTGGCCGGCCGGGGACGAACCCGGGGCCGGCGAAGGATTTGTCTTCTTGGAGGGATGGCCCCCCTCCTTCTTGTGATTATGGAGCTCGTCGGCGTCGGCGTACAAGCCTCCGCGCTGGAGTGCCTTGGCGTACGACCTCGGATGGTCGGTGATAAGGCTCCTAGCGTACGGGGAGCTGCGGAGGGCTCCCTGGTACAAGGCGAGGAGGGTGCGCTCTCATCGGCCCCCTCGACCTCCTCGGTCTCCCTCGTCCACCGATCGATGAATGACCGGAGGGACTCCTCATGCTGCTGCTTGACGGAGAGGAGGTGGGTGAAATACTTCTTCGCGCGCTTCCTCCCGGCAAAGTGAGTGAGGAAGCGCTGGGCGAGATCCTGCCATGAGTCGATGCTCCCTTCGGGGAGCGCATTGAACCACTCGTACGCTGGCCCCTCGAGAGTAGAGAGGAACCAACGGCAGAGGTATTCGTCGGACGCGTTCAACATCAGCATGTTGTTCTGGTAACGGCTGAAGTGTTCCTGGGGGCCTGATCGGCCATCGTAGGACTTGATGGCGTTTCCCCTGTACTTCTCCGGGATGGGGGCCGAGAGGACCCTGTTGGTGAAAGGGGTCCTGGTCCTGACCTGGATGATGGGGTCACCTCGCCCCTCGGCCAGCTCCCTCTCCAGGGCGCTAACCTTGTTCATGAGCGCGTTGAGGCCGGGGTCGTTGGAGGCGCCGACCGTAGGGATGTTGGCCGACTGCTTGGCTTCCATCTGAGCCAGCCTCCTTTCCAGCTGAGCGATGACCTCGTCCCGAGGGTCCCTGGCGGCCGCAGCGGCGCCCAGCTGGTTCCTCATGCGCTCGTTGTGAGCCGCGTTGATCTGGTGGCGCACGTCATCCTCGTGCAACTTTCCCTTGCCCTTGTCCGGGCGGGGCTGGTCCGCTGTCCGGGACACAGACCCCAAGCTTTCCCTCGGCGAGCCAGGACGAGGCTCACCAATCCGTCCCGCCATCCTCTCCGAAACCGGACGACGGCACGTGTCACCTAGCCTATTGAAGGCAGAGGCTTTTCCACGCGCTGGGGTCTGCCCAGGCCGAAGAGGGGAAGCAGGGTGGGAGTGGGACGACGCCGTGTCCTGGGGCACCACCCCTCATCGTTGCCTATCCGGACGGCCAACGGTTGGGGCTGAGGAGGTTGAGTGACGTTCCCCCCGGTCCTTGGCAAGAGTGCGCTGAGGACGGTGGGGTTCTGAGCCAGGCTAGCGATGATGACCGACAGCGCGGCCTGGACCTGCGGATCCACGGACGGAGAGGCCGCGGCCATAGGCTGGGCCGGGGCGTGGTCCGTCTTCTCAGCTCGCTTCTTGTCCAAGCTGAGGCGGGTGTCAGGGACTCCGCCGTTGAGTTGGTTGCGGAGGTCCGTCGTGAGGTTGAAGGCCTCCTGGAAGAGGTCCCCTCCACCGGCCTGGTCGGCCGTGGCGTCCTCATCGTGCTCCCTGGGCTCTTGGTCCTCAGGGATGACTTTGCTGATCAGGTTGCGGTTTGACATAGTTCTCCCCATGATCAGTGGTTAGCTGTGCCTGGTGGCGACGAAGGGTGCTAACTTGATTGTTCTAGCTCTCAACGAGAGCACCAAATGATAGAGTATATCTCTAGAGAGAAGTGAGAGCTAGAGAGAGAAGTGCAATAATATGCTTCAATAGAATGAATTTGTAACCCCTATAACTACTCCCAAGGGGAGTATTTATAGAGAAAATACGGACTGGGCTCCCAAGCCTTGGGCTTGGGAGGCCCATTTACAACTGGACCGCTACTGGGCCGAATACAAAGCCGCTAATGGGCTGTACAAATGAGTAAGTGCGAAATCCGGTTCTGGGAGGTCTTCGTGGCCGACGAGGGCGTGGCCGACGAGGGCACGACCGACGAGGGCACCCGGGTTCCTTGGGCTCAGGACCATAATCTGAGTTGGCCCCTTTTCGGCCGACGGGAGCGTCTTGGCCGACGAGGGTGCCACTCTGTGTCTTGTGCTTTCTGTTCTTCCGAGTATGTGGGTCCAGGGGCTCATACCCATATACTCCATCAATAGTATTTAGAATAACTTATGGCTAAGTTCCAGAATATGTAGAAACATCTAACATGGGAGGATGACCTTTATAATGAAGAGACCTCAACACGTTAGAATTTTGTATATTTGGTTACATCACCTATTTTTTGACAAATAAAGAACTAGTTATTCATTAAATGATCGCAAAGAAACATATGAAGATTAGTTTCAGGTTACAATGAAATGAGACATAGGATATAAAAGATTTCATGAATCAATTCCAACGAAAATTTGCTACTCCAACGAAAAAGTGAAAAAATAGTCTAACAACCGAGTTGAATTTGCTACACCAATGAAAAAAACTAAAAATCACAACTATAATAAATATCCGACTTCACCATCCACCGTAAAGGAGAATTAATTTGATTAGCAACCATGAAAAGCTCTATCGAGCAAGAATTGTCTTAATCATCGTTTTGACCAGCCATCGAAAAGAAGATCCAATTGAGCACTTTATTTCTCCCCAGAGCAAGGTGGTTGTTCAGGAAGAGGGAGCAAAACTAAGACCTAAAAAGACTAGGTTCAACAAGCCTTGTCACACATGCATAACGATAATTCACCATCTGATCACCACCTGATTGCTCAGTTACGACAACAAGGAATACACATTCTCTATTTATTGCTAGGACAAGAACATATATATCTCACGCTCACTTGAAGCAGACAAAATTTTTGACTACAGAAAAAGTCGAATCGAAACCGTTACTCTCCAAGGTAGAAATCAAATAAAAACGGAAGCATAATAGACCCCTTTGTTTTTCAAGGAAGAACATAATGGCGGCGACCAATCATTCCTCTACCGGGATGCCTCCTAGGGTTTACTGCCTGCCAAAGAACGGGAAATGAATACATTGTTCTACTCCCGGTTTGAGACTGGCATTGACCGATTCAATGCACTTGACCAAATTCATTATCCACATCCGAAGCAGAACCTATCAATATTGCGTTACGAATGAGTAGAGTTGTAAACGAAACGAATCGAATCAAACCGAATACATGACAATATTATTCGTATTCGTATAATTATCGGATATTCGTATTCGTTTAATTTTCGAATCTTATTTCATATTCGTATTCGATTCGTTTGATATATTTGAATCTTATTTGAATATTCGTATACTAGTACTATATAGATATTTGCTAGTTTGATTATTACTTTGACATTAACTAGTTAGATACTCAGTTTGATTTAGTAAATAAATACTAACCAGTTTGGTGCTCAGTTTGATATACTAAACAGATTAGCATAGTTAGTATAATTTGGTAATCAATTTGATATTAACTAGTTTGATATTTTTCTCTATTTCCTCCTAATTAGTATTTTGTTTGCTTTTGTGATTTATGTGAGATAAATCATTTGGTCCGATTAGGTGGTTGATAAGTTGAGAGTTCTTTCATTTGCAGAGTGTCTTGCGGCATCCGACGGCAGGGTTGCTACGAGCAGGATCTCGAGATTGGTAAAGGGGTGGAGCTCAAGATCTTCGGCCGTCGAATTTCGGATATGACGGAGAAAAACAGCCAGACACTCTCTTGGGTGCTTAACTAAGGCAGAGACGCCCAATCCTTAAACTTTAGCCTTAATGCTCTTGCGACCTTTGCATTTTCTCCTATAGGTTTTGAGTACATTTTTGACCAATTTCCTGATTTCTGATAACTCCACAAAGACTTATGCTTGTGTTTCTGATACCTAATAGGAGCTGGAAATGTGTTCTTAACATTTGGATTCAGAGCCATCCCAGCTATTATTGTCGTCAACTTCATTTTTCTTGAGGTACAAAGCTTAATCAATAGGTGAAGCAATGGATTCCCCATTCGACGGTGTGGATCACAGTAGTAAATGGAGTAAGGATAACTTCGACAAGATGAACGACGAGGTCAAGCCTTCTCCACTACCACCTCCTCAGCGGCGGAGAAGCCTTGAACGGAGAGATGACAGAGGCTTAGAAAGGCAACGTGGACGACAGCATTACTCCAGTCGCAGTCGGTCTCCGCGGCTTCGAGAACGTCGCTACAAAAGGAGCCACTCGAGCTCTACCCCTCCTCTTTCTCCATCTCCGTCTCCTCCGCCACGACGCTCGATTACACAATCATCTTACAAGCGCTCTCGCTCTCAAAGGGATGACTATGATGACTGTCGCTCTCCTCACTCACGGCGGTACTCGCTCTCCAGGAGGGATGACTGTTATGGCCGTCGAGCTCCGCACTCCCGTCGCTCGTCACCACATTCTTTTTCCAAGGGTTCTCGAAGAGCTAACTATGATGGCAGACGCTGCTCTCCTCCCTCACGACGACGCTCGCCTCCGTCTTACAAACGCCCAAGGAGGGATAAGTCTGATGACCGGGACCCACCATCACCACGACTTTCTCCGTCACCCTCCCCTTACAAACCCTCTAAGACTTCTAGGAGGGATGAGTATGATGGCAGAAGAGAAAGCATTAAAGATGGACAAGATGATCGGAGGTCAGTACTGTTCTATGTTTCTTTATGTCGTATAAATCTTTGATGTGGTACCATAATTTTAACTTCCAAGACGAGCCCATAGGAAATATTGGATAGAATAAATGATGTCAATGAGTCTTAATTGGTCCTCTTCATTACAGCTGAGATAATTGAACAAAGAGAACATCAATGGGTATTTTTGGATTCCAGCTACCTGCTTACCTATGTATTCTCTGTAGCTAAACCAAAGCAATAAAAAAACAGATGAAGAAGCAGGGCCTGCATCACTGATTTCAATGGAATCTCAACTATATTGCTTTCCATCAATGCCTTTTATTAGTTTAGCGAACTATCTGTATTCTGTTCACATAAGACAGTAGAGCAAATTCATTATTCCCTTACATTAGTAACCAACAGCAATGCCATCAATTAGGTTCAATTTCCATTAGCAATCAGTAAAAGCTACAACATCTAACATCACAGTTTTGAAAATCCGTTGGGGTGCCTCTCATATTTCTTTGTTAGCTAGATACTTGAAATCGTGCCTTATTACAAAATGTAACTTGTTGGGTTTAGAGCATGACTATCCAATTGTCTAAGAGCGTGGAATGGGGGGAGCCATGGATATCCTAATATCACTCCAAAATAGGAATTACTTATTGAAGTATTTTGTTTTTATGTATTACAAAAGCAATTAATTGTTAAGTTATTTTATCTTTGTTTTTTATTTTATGCTATTTATGGTAAGACGGATATCCTCATATCCTGTTTTTTAGCTGTTTGCCCCCCACGTTGAAGAATCCTGTGCCTGAAGCATCCCTTGCGACTCTGCCTCCAGTTAACCCAATGCGCCTCAGCGCACTTTCTCGGCTTAATGATGAAAGTTTTGTTTGGCCTTGGAAGGGAATAGTCGCAAATGTTCCAATTCAGTACAGGGATGGAAAGTTTATTGGCGAGAGCGGGCAAAAGCTTAAAGAGGAGTGGGTTGCCAAAGGGTATAACCCAGTGAAGGTTCAACCACTGTGGAGTAGTAAGGGGCATTGTGGCTTCACTATAGTGGAGTTTGCCCGGGACTTCTCTGGGTTTGAAAATGCAATGGCATTTGGACGGGAGTTCGAGCTGGATAAACATGGAAAATTGGAATGGACTTCCGGGAAGAGAGATGACAAGCTCTTTGCGTGGATTGCTGGCCGTGATGACTACAATGCCCCTGGCATTATTGGTCATTATCTCAAGAAAAATGGAGATTTGAAATCTATTTCTGAGATCCAAAACGAGAATCAGAGGAAGAATTCAAAGCTGTTTTCTGATTTGACCACAAAGCTGGAGTCCAAGAGCAGGAAGTGCGAGGAGATTGCAGAGAAGATAACTAAAACTGAAAGGAAGCTGAACAATGTCATGAGACAAAAGGATGACATGCTTGCAAAGTATAACAAAGGTACATAAATCATTCTTCTTTTCATTTTGCCTAAACTTCAGGTTGATTTTTTTTACTTAGATTAAGCTAAGAGAGATTACATTAAATTTACTATGTCAGATTAATCTATAACATTATAATTCACTTATATGCTTTCCACTAGAGTTGGAGAAGATGCAGCAAAAGGCATTGTCAGAGCTACAGAATATTTTAAGGGAGAATAAGAGAAGTGAACAAAGATTAAATGACCAGCGTGAAAAGCTGAAATTGAAAGAAAATGAACTGAAATTTCGTGAAAAACTAAATGAAAGTGAGAAGAGGAAGCTTGACAGTGATAAAGAAATGGTATGATGCTCTTTGCTGATATTTTCATTTGGAAATGTTCATTATTTATTATCTTGAAGCTGGAGACCATGTGCCGATCACTTTTTTTAATACAAATGAACTCTGTTTTGGTTACCATGATGGGTGTTCTTGTTCATGTTTTAGTTCCTGAAAACATAACAAAATAAATAAAACTTTTTGAATATGTAATAGTTTGAATTTCTGAAAAGAAAAGTTAATTATTTTTGCAGAATGAGAGGGCAATTCTTGCTCAAAAAAAGGCTGATGAGACAATGTTGAAATTAGCTGAAGAGCAGAAGGTATGCTTTCCTCCTTTATTTTATGAAGCACAATAGAAGCTAATTCAGTGGATGCTAGATACCAGCGATTTCAGAGCAGATTAGATGAAATATTTGTATATTAATTCTCTGAATTCAGATAAGTATCCAGAATTACAGCAGAAAGAAGAAATCGAAGATGAACAGTAGAAATTGATAATGAGACAAATTCGAGAGTCTCTCTCTCCCAAGCCAAAGCCTAATCCAATTTCTGCCTGCCTTTATTCTATTCCCAGCTCCTATTTATAATACTTTGTTTACGGGCCGGCCCATAACTAAATAATACCAGGCCTAGACCCCCTTTAACAAAACAACAAACTATGTAACATTATTTTATTATTATTATATTAATAGGTTCCTATCATATCCCCCCCTTAGACAACCACCCTGTCCTCAAGGTGGGTGATAGGAAACAGCCTTAACTTTCGACTTCATCTTCATCCTGACAGCTCTTCCTTCCCTATACATCCCGAATTTATGGACCATGATCTTCATTACTTGACCCTTCATCACCCCTTTTGAACAAAGCTGTCCACAACCCGGTTTAACCAGATTCTCTTCAGAAAGAGGGATGCTGTCACTCTGGAGAACATAATGATTGTTCCCTTGCTCAGGTTTCCCGGTAGACCAACAAATGTTCTCATAAAATTGCAACTCTATGGGGTTTGTCAGTATGAAAAAGGAATAGAGTTCACTGCTTTTCATATCACAAACAATTGGTACTGTAATAATATCTCCAAATGATCTAGGAAGATTAAAGTCTACTGACTTTACTTTATCAATGCCTTTCAATTTTGTAAGCCCAGATGACCAATCAAGTTTAGGTATCCTTAAAACTTCTTCAAATCCAATTTCACTCCCACCATAGACATTAGCCAAACAATGCAACAGAATAACAGGAAACCTTTTACCTCCAGATGATGGTTGTAAGTTAACAACGCTATCACACTGATTTTCCGCCTTGTGGCCTTCCGAATATTCTAGCAGAGACAAGTTCAAACAACCTCCAAACAGCCTCATATTTTGCACTCCTGCACCCTCTGTGTTTGGCTGTAGCCTATTCTCAACAATGTGGTGAAGATTTTGACCAGGTCCTTGTGAAGCATTAGGATTATTAACATTTTGAGAAGTGACACGCAGAACTCTACCAAAAACAGAGTTGAGGAATTCCATAGAACCTTTAGAAGCATCAGAAGCTGGGCATCCAAGAGAAACAGGAACTGCAGTTGTGCCAATTTCAGGTCTAGCGACCACCGACAATTTCTCCTCGTTTTCATTGTCGCCTTCAGTGAACTTCTCTGCATTTTCTCCAAATTGCAAAGCATTCCTATCATCAGAGGAAGGTTGCAGCAGGTTAACAGACTCGAAACGGAGCGGTGAAGCTTGCCAAGTGTGAGAATCCTCGGGCGATGGAGCTAGCGCACAGTGAAACGCGGCTTGAGATTTTGAAGAAATCTGCCAATTCAGAGAAACGGATTGAGACGAAGAGGACTGGTGAGGAGCGGCTAGAGACTCGGAAGAAACCTGCGTACTCAGCAAATCTGATTGCGACGAAGCTGGCGTATTGGAAAAAACTGATTGCGGAGAAACCTGCAAAGGGTGAGTAAAGGTGAGCACAGAAATCAGCGAACGAGGATCTTCTGCTGGCGACGACGCTAGCGCAGTGTGCGATGCAGCTTGAGATGCCATCTGCGAACTGGTATAAGCCTCTCGCGATGTTGATTGGTGAGGTACAAGTAGCGACAATGAACTGGGATACGCAGAAGGCCGATGACTTTTAGGGCTCCTAGATTGATGTCTGCGATGATGTTGATCCATACGGTTCAGCATATCTTTCATCGTGTTCAGCATAGCTTTCATCTCCACATTCATCTCCTTCATATATCGTTCTATATTGTCAAAACTCTTTTCCATTCGAGGTGTCATATAGAATTCCTCCATCACTCCCGGTTGTTGAAGCTCTGGGATGATCGATGATTCTGATTCTCTGCCTCCAGGAAGCGTCGTGCTCTGAAACCAATGTTAGATACCAGCGATTTCAGAGCAGATTAGATGAAATATTTGTATATTAATTCTCTGAATTCAGATAAGTATCCAGAATTACAGCAGAAAGAAGAAATCGAAGATGAACAGTAGAAATTGATAACGAGACAAATTCGAGAGTGTCTCTCTCTCCCAAGCCAAAGCCTAATCCAATTTCTGCCTGCCTTTATTCTATTCCCAGCTTCTATTTATAATACTTTGTTTACGGGCCGGCCCATAACTAAATAATACCAGGCCTAGACCCCCTTTAACAAAACAACAAACTATGTAACATTATTTTATTATTATTATTATTATTATTATTATTATTATTATTATTATTATACTAATAGGTTCCTATCAGTGAAATGCGCAAAAGTTGGTAGTTAGTGCTTACATCAAAGTAGAGAAAATCTTACTGATTTTTCATATTTCAGAGAGAAAAAGAGCTCTATCACCAAAAAATCATTGAACTTGAAAAGGAACTTGATAGAAAGCAAGCGCTGGAATTAGCGATTGAGTCCTTAAGAGGTGCCATTGAAGTCAGGAGACATATGGGCGAGGAAGGAGATCTGCTAGCTAAGCAAAAACTGACATCAATTGAAGAAGAGTTGAAAGAGAAGGAAGAAGAACTTGAGGATATGGAAAACAGGAACAATGATCTCATTATAAAGCAACGGCGCGACAATGATGAAGTGCAAGATGCTCGTAAAGAGTTGATCAATGTGAGCAAATTTTATTTGATTTCTTTTGTGCTTCATGTAGTACACATTTTTTTAAAAATGAACAAAAAACAATGCTGTAGTATAGTTTTCGTTTTACCTGGTTGCTTAATTGAGATACATAATCTATTTACTGTTTAGGAATAGTGTAGTTAGCTTATTGAGTAGACATCTATATAGATTACTCACCCACACATACATGGAAGTATATATAGCTGTTATAGCATTTTTCTTAAGAAATAAATTTTAAGCATGAAATAAATGTGGAAATCTGGGAATTCCATTTGTGCAGCTCATGGTTATTCCAGCAAAGTCCATATTAGAGCGAACTAGTGTTCTTTTCAAGTTATTTAGATGCTTTATTACGTAAAAGGCTGAGATTGCACGGTAATTTTAGATATATGCTAGAGGAATCTATCAGTTATCATCTTCTCTTGTTCTCTTTATACTGAGTAATTGCTTTCTAGATTCCTAATCTATTGAGTTTTTTAATTTGATTTTGGTCAACCCATTCTTGGTGCCTTTTGGGTAGGGATTGAAAGGAAGCCGTGCCAACATTTCTGTGAAGTTAATGGGGGATCTTGATACTAAGCCATTCATTGTTGTTGCTAAGCAAAAGTATTCCAAAAAAGAAGCACCAGAAAAAGCGGAGGAGCTGTGCACAATGTGGGACAGTAACTTAAGTGACCCACACTGGCATCCTTTTAGGCATGTCATCAAGAAGGGTGATGGATCAGATAATAACGCTGCTGTATGCCTTCCTTAATGACTAAAGAGTACATATCAGTATTATGCTGAATTACTTTTTTAACCCCAAATGTCACACTTTCAGGAGGTGGAGGAGGTGATAAATGAAGAAGATGAGAGGCTTGTTGGTCTAAAGGAGGAGCATGGTGAGGAAGTATATGAAGCGGTGAAGACTGCGCTGAAGGAGTTGAATGAATACAACCCTAGTGGGAGGTACCCAGTGAACGAGCTTTGGAACGTCAAAGAGAAGAGAAGGGCTTCCCTAAAGGAAGGCGTGGAGCATATTATTAAACAATGGAGGACACTCAAGGGGAAGAGAAAGACCTGAGTGCATGCGATTTGACAAGCGGGAGATACTACTGAGCACTAAGTACTAACAAGTAGAGTAATGTTTATTGTGGCAGAATTTGCTTATATAAATTTAACTTAGATTTTAGAGTAACTAGTACAGCAACCTATATTTAACCTGCTAGGGTGGCCAACCCATTCTTGGTGCCTTTTGGGTAGGGATTGAAAGGAATATTTGATTAGGTTAGAGACATCAGCTATAACAACTAGTACAGTAATCCTGGCTTTAAGGTGTAGAGACATCAGTAGGTTAGAGTATTGTATATTTGGTTACGCTACCTATGAAGTATTAACTAACTAATTCAATGAAGCTGTCCAAGCCTTGTGCCTTTTTTTAGAAGCTTGGTCAAGCTCCCGGTTTCAGACTGTCATTGGCTGATTCACTGCACCAATAAGTGAATAGTGATAGGCTGGTATATTTTTATGCAGTATATGAATTCGGATAAACTGAATCCAAATTGGGTCGAAAACAGTTTGTTCTACCTGACTTCAAACTGTTCTGGTATTTAATTGTGTTGATTATAGTTCCTACTTCCTGCCTTTTAAGTTTTAAGGGTTGATTGGGATGGGCTGGTCCAAAACTATAAATGGCCATGTCCACTTCTAACAGGCTTCAAATTGAAAAAGTTGTAATAATGCAAAAAGAGTTCCCTTTGACTGGTAGTTTTATGTTTTACATTTCAAATTAAAATATTCTAGCATATCTTTTTTACTACGTGTTTTATTAAGAGCTATTGTAATTTTCAATATAACGGTTTTAACGTGATTACGGAAATTCTTTTTTGCAACTTTTATAAGCTTTTTCCCAGCAGCCCCAATCCGGGATTAGCCTTATTACACACGCAAGTGTTAATTGGAATTGGTAAACTTGACTTGCTTTGTGATCAACTTACTTCGAAGTGCAAGTAAAATGAGTAAAAATGTATACCACAATATGGTTTAAACTTTAAACTACATTCACCGTCTCTTAAACTTTGACAACTTTTATACAAAATTTATATTTAACCTAGAATTTAGAGTAGCTTATGGCTAAGCGCTAGAAATCTAGAATATGTAGAAACGTCTAACATGGGAGGGTGGCCTTTGTAATGGAGAGACCTCAACACGTTAGTTTTGTATATTTGGTTGCACTGTCCTTTTTTGACAAACAAATAACTAATTATTCATTAAATGATAGCAAAGAAACAAATGAATGAATAACTTAAGGATACAATGGGATAAGACATAGGACATAAAAGATGTAATGAATCCCTTGTCGTGCAAGAATTGTTTGAATCATCAGTTTGATCAATCACAGAAAAGAAGATCCAATTGGTGTTATATTTTACCCAGAGTAAGGCAGGAAGAGGGCACACAACCGAGACCTAAAAAACTAGATTCAAGAAGCTTTGTCATCAATGCATAACGAAAATTCACCACCTAATCGGTTACGCCGATGAGGAATACATATCTGCTAGACATTTTTAGGACAAGAAAATATATATCTCACGCTCACTTGAAGCGGACAAAATTCTCGACTACAAAAAAGTCGTACCAACACTATAAGTCTCCAAGGTAGAAATCAAATAAAAACGGAAGCAGTTAATGGCAGAGACCAATCATTGGGAAATGAACATTGTTCTACTCCGGGTTTGAGACTGGCACCGGCTGATTTAGTGCACTTGACCAAATTCATTATACAAACCTGAAGCAGATCCTATCAATATTGGGTTACCAATAAGTACTAGGAAGCTCTGGTTACTGAATTGCTTTATGCTAGTCCGTATATATATGGCAAGAACGGAATCAGAGAACTTTTAATAATACACGGTTGGAGCTACAACTTCTTCTCAGACAGATAGTACAAACTACAAAGGGTGATTGGTTGATGCTCTAAAAACGAGGAGATTGCTTGTTTCTTTAATGGATTTACTCACTACCCAATATTTAATTTGCATTTATTAGTTTGATAGTTTGGTGATTTTGTTAGTTTCATCCATATTTTTTAGGGTATGTTTGGGAGTTTGGAGGGAAGGGGAGAGAAAGGATTTGAATATTTGTTGTTGGAGGGCAAAGTAAGGGAAGAATGTGGAAGACATTCTTTGTATTTGGAAGTAATAAAATTGAAATGAGAATTTTTGAAGGAATTATAGTTAAAATCACTTTGAGATATGACAAATTCAAATCATTGAGCTGATGTTCATTTTAAATTTAACTTAAATTACCATCTTGTTAATTAATATCCAAAATCCTCCAAATTGGGGGAACTTAAAAATTAAGCATTTGGAGGGTTTTGAAGGGTTACAAAAGCTCTCCAAAAATATCCTTTTCAATTTTTTAAACTCTCAAACATGAAAAGGAGGATCATAACCCCCCGTTAACCTTCTTCATCCCCTCCAAAATCCAACTCCCAAACACACCGAAACGGTTTACTTGGACATGTGCCTTTTGTATCTGTGAGAAGGTTGTACTTATTGGTCATTGGATGAAATATACAAGCTTATTTCGTTCAAAAAAGAAGTACTAGGAAGCTGGTGTATTTGTATTTAGTACTCGGTATATGAATTCAGATCACTAGTTCCAAATGGGTCAAAAAGACAGTTTGCTCTATCTGACCTTGAACTGTTCTGGTATCAGTATGTGGATTATTAAATGCATAAATGGTACTTTAATTATTGATATTGTTGCATTTTGATACCTTAACTCTTAAATGAATGAAATCAGTACCATAACTATACATAAATGTTTCAACTTGAGATTTTATTCAAATTTGTGGTAAAAAATTCTTCACGATGATCAAAATTTCATGTGTAGAGTCACCATATAGTGATTATATGAAAAAAAAAGGTGAAATAGATTTTGCGCATAGAATTACGGCCACCACGTGTGATTTTTTGGCCGCAAATTTGAATAAAATCTCAAATTAAAACATTTACTCCCTCCGTCCCCTTTTAAATGTCCTATTTTACTATATTGGGATGTCCCTATTTAATTGTCCCATACCTTATTTGGTAAAGTTTGTGTGGCTCAAAATCATTCTTACTTTATTCTTACTTTATCAATTACTATCAACCACAAAAACTCACTTTTCTTAAAACTCGTGTCACCCTCTTCCGGGACATTTATAAGGGGACGGAGGGAGTATATATATATATATATATAATATATATAATTAAAGTACTGTTTTGATTCATTTAAGAGTTAAGGTATCAAAATGCAACAATACCGATAAATCAGATACCATTTATGCATTTGACTCTTACGGAGTACTCCCCCGTCCTTTAAAGGTTTGCCATGTTTGACCGGCACGTAGAATAATAAAATAAAAACTGTGTGGTAGAAGTTTGTGCAGAGGAGAGAGAAATAACAGAAACTACATATTGATTGATTAAAATGGAAAGTGACAAAATTTTTGAGACTAAGAAATATTTGGTTTTGTCGTGATTACCATGATTTAAAATTAACGTGATTACCAAAGTGACAAAATTTTTGAGACTAAGAAAAACCGTAATTGGTTTTTCATATCTAACATGATCAAAATAAATAAATAACTGTTTTAACGTGATTACCGTAATTGGTTTTGCAAGTTTTATAAGTTTTTTTCCACAGCAGCCTCAATCCCGGATTAGCCTTGTTACACACGCAAGTGTTAATCTAATTGGAACTGGTGAACTTGACTTACTTTGTAAAAAAGGATAATAGGAGGGTCACAACATTCACTCGATAATTAATTGGTAAAATGTAAATTAGATTATAATCACAATAGACAAGGTCGGCCCTGGGCAAGTGTAGGATATGCAATGACACATGGCCATAATTATTGAGGGCCCAAAAATAAAAAATTAATAGTAGTATTAGTATCCTGCCAGCCCAAATGCAGAATACCTACGTCCAATAAATTTGAGAAGAAGCGTAATAGTTTCATCCAAAAAAAAAGAGAAGAAGCGTAATAGTTGGCGGCAACCCCCACCTTGGATGGTCTTTTCATAGGACTTAAGTCTTGGGGGCAATCCTAAGGTCTTAAGTTCGAATCCTGAAATGGGAGTGATTATTGTGACCTCCCCAAGCTGTGAGCCGGTCAGCTATCGGCAACCTAGGCTGGTTTACCTCCTTGTGGTCCTTTGCCGGCTAGGGTCACAAGGCTCCGGATTAGTCTCGGGTAACCGAGGATACCGGATGTCAATAAAAAAAGAGAAGAAGCATAATAGTAGAATTGAAGATCGACAAGCTGAAGTCCCCGCTCAATCGGCAACCGGGTCTGCAAGAGTTCAAGCGACAAAGGGAGGGACAACGCCTCACGCCCAGACGCTGCTACCGCGCCACGCCTCTAGCCACCTCCACTCCTCCAGGCCTCCGCTCGCGGGGCTCACTCAATCTCTCACCTCGGTGAAGAATTGAAGTGTTGGTCACTTGGCCGCTGGGCTCCTGCCAGCTCCAGCTGCTGTAATTACTAGTTACTGCTATGTGATGTGGATTAGGTTGTCTATTTTTGGGATTCGGTTGCTGATTTTTGGGACTTCGTATTTACTAAGCCTGATTAATTTATTATCAAATTTATATATTAGATTGTTGTTGATTTAATTAAGTAATCAAATTGATTATATTTAACAATCAATTTAAGTGAAATGTATTTTATTAATGAATATTGCCTCTTCTTTTAAGTGAAATGTCTCTAATTAATGAATATTCATTAGTAACTTGGAAAAGAAGGGCCAATTTTTTTGGTTGCACAGAGCCTGCATTTTCTTAGGACCGACCCTGATAGTAGGCTTTGGCCCAGATATATACTTGCAGAGGTCTTATGCATTTTTACGTAGTAACCTCTCGAGACTCTCATCGTTATTTCCGGAATTCGAATCCAAGACTTATCCCGTATGACACATATATAATTATGAAGAGCAAAGGAAAATTTTGAGTCGACAGAAACAACTCAAACAAGGTAAAAATTGAAGAACCACCTATATGTCTGATTTGGGTGTTTTGTAAAACTTTGAAGAATTGATCGAGTGTTTTTATAGTATGAAGACTAATTTAAAGGATTTAATGGCTGTTTTTGATAACATATGAAGACTAATTTAAATAATGAATTCATAGATATGAAGACGGAACTGAAACTTAGGTAAAAGGGAGAGAGGAATTTGATTCACACTCGAAAGTTTTTCCCGACAAATGTTTGGCCGAACTCCCAGCCCTCCGGGGCGACGTTCCAGGAGGTGGATGATCGCCGGTCGCTGCTCTTTACCCGGAAAGATAACGACTGCCCGCTCAAAGCGGCGCTAGTTTGCCAGTTTTGCCCCCAGTTCCTGCTCATCTCTATCCAATCGGTCTTTGACCCTTTCACCCTCACTCTCACGATATCCCCTGCGCCTCCCACGTTGGTGATCAGAACCAGGTTGAAGAATTGGTGCCCGTTAATCGTGAACCGTATTCCCCCCTTCTTCCGGCATGTCACTCTGCGCAACAAAATCGCAAAACACGGGGGTCGGGGGTAGATCAGTAATTACACTTACACCCGAGACCACCACAATCTCACTCAAAAGCACACCATAATCCAAGCAGATAAAAGTGTGTTTGAAAAATGGTGTTTTAATAAACAAAAAAGCCTTTTGTACACACTCTTATACACACTTTTGTACACATCTATGTTTGTGAAAGTTTATTTTTTTGTCTGTGAACATCGATTCACAGACAATGTTTTGCACAAACAAAATATTGTCTATGAATCGAATTCAAAGACAAAAAAAAGCTTCACAATCATGATGTGTATAAGATGTGTACAAAGTTGTAGTTTTGTTTAATAAAACATGATAGGTTCATCACTTTTACATTTTTAATGAGTTCGAAATATGAAGCTTTCAATTGTTTTCATCACTTTTAGCATTTTTAATAAATTAGTTTAATTCTAACGTTTTTGAACGGAACCGTTGAAATAAACTCTTCAAACGATAAAGTTTGGGTTATCGTTTTGAAACATGATATTTTTTACTAAGTGAGTGTTTGGAATTGACTTTTTTTTAAAGCAGAAATAGAATCAGAATTTTTCAGAAGTGGATCTCCATCAATTTCTAGAAAACTGCTTTTAAGAGTTTTTTGCACTTTCATCTAAAGATTCAAACTTCGTTTTATGTTCCCTGAAAGAGTAGAATCAGTTTTAAAAATCAGATTCAAATACTCCATAATTCAAACGCTAAATTTTCAATCATCTACGATCCGCCAACTGATTTCTTTAATAAAACTAGCTGTCTTAATCGACTATTGACAACCGTTAATATAACGGCCAAATGCCAAACACGACCGAAACAAAGAAAGAAACAAATCCGTGTTAAAGTTCACAAAAAGATACGAAGAATAAACGGCAAAAAAACAAATTAAAAGAACCCACCGGCGATAAGTGACGGGGACGATTCCGGCGCGATACTCGGCGATCTTGAGGAACATGGGCATGGAGAGGTCGAAATGAGGCCGCGGAGGGTTGCACCAGCCACCATTGTCGCTGGGCAGAGCATAGTTGGGTGGGCAGAAATTGGTCGCCGTAATAATGATCGACGGGTTGCCGGGAACGCAAGATTGATCGTCGGCGCACTTGATCTCGAAGCAGGCCCCGCAGCTGAGGCCATCGTTGAAGAGGGCCGTGCTCAAAGCTCCATTGTTCACTCCGTAGCCTTGGCTGTAGAGGTCTCCATACCCGCACGCGCCACCCATGGTGCCGGAGGCGTCGCTGCCTCCATAGAAGGTGGCGTGAGCTGAGTGCCACGCGCCGCCGGTGTAAACGCCTGGGTGTTTAGATTCAGCTGATCGTAAGAGTGGATAGATAAGAATGGAAATGTAGACTAAGCATAAAGTACCCATTTCGTTTTAATTTCTTTCTTCCTATATATATTTCCTGACCGGGCTGGAAGGGAAGAGAATAAGAGATGGCTAATTGGGTGAAGAAGCAGATTAGAGGAGTACTTAAGTGTTATGAGAAGTGGCAGTAATGTAATTTTGTATATGCAATTTGTTAGCACTAGATGGTAATCCGGATTTCGCCCTTCTAATTTTGGTTAAACACTATTAGATATAAGCAACTACTTTTAGTTTGTTTTAGTTGAAAGGTTGTTAGCTGAGTCAGTTAGTCAGCTATTTGTATAAATACTGCACATATGGCATTTTGTAAGTAAGCTTCCATTTTCTAATACATTCAGTTTTCTTTCTTCTTGATTCTGTCGACTATCAACAAACTATCATGGTATCAGAGCTATAGCTCAGACCTTCTTTCTTCGCAGATCTTCTCGCACAACAATGGCGCTTCCAGATCATTTGGTGAATCCAGCAAATCCTCTTTTTCTACACCCTGGCGAGAATCCATCTCTGATTCTCGTTACACCTCTGTTAGAAGAAAACAACTTTCCTCAATGGAAACACGATATGCTGATCGCATTACAGACGAAGAACAAGGACCAATTTGTTCTCAACACCCTGCCATGTCCTAGCGCCACAGATCCTCTTTAAGAAGCCTGGCGTAGATGCAACAAGATGGTTGTATCATGGCTCAGTCGCTCGATGTCATCATCAATTCACCAATCCGTCATGTGGATTGAATCCGCATCGGAAATTTGGCGCGATCTCAGCGACAGATTCTCACATGGAGACAAATTCCGCATAGATGACCTGCAAGAAGAAATTCAGAACTGTCGCCAAGGTGACCAAAACGTTTCTCAATACTTCACCCGTCTACGAACACTATGGAAGGAATTATCACTATATCGAACTGTTCTAAAATGTACATGCTCACCTGCTTGCTCCTGTGGAATATTAGCACAGATTCAAAAGGAAAGAGACGATGATTACATTATTAAACTTTTACGAGGTCTCAGTGAGGATTTTAATCAAGTTCGCTCTCAGGTTATGCTGATGGACACACTACCAACTGTGACTCGGACCTTTTCTCTAATCCAACAGCAAGAGCGTGAATTTGGTGGTCAATCCCACTCCATTCCACAAGAAACTATTGCTCTTGCCACAATTACTCCTAACACTGGCTACAACCACCAGTCCAGAGGAGGATATATCACCAATCGAGGAGGACGATCTGGTAAACAAAACAATACAATGAGAAACAACAAATTTTGCACAAAGTGTAAGAAGACAAATCATACTGTAGACACATGCTTTCACATATATGGTTTCCCACCCGGTTACAACAAAAACACCAATGCTGATGCAAAATCTTCTGCTAATGTTGCTGGTTCTATAGCCCCCTTTGCATCTATCTCTCTTGTCAAGGAACAGGATGACGACCAGAATGCCTATACTTTCACCAAGGATCAATATAACGCATTAATGGCTTTAGTTCAACAATTTCAGAGTTCTTCCTCAACTGTCAACACTGTAACCAATCACCATGTGCCTAATCCTGGTATTAACTCTACTTGGATCCTTGATAGTGGTGCTACTGATCATATATGTCCAATTAAATCACACTTTACCTCACTCAATCCCATTCCTCCTAAATCAGTCAGGTTACCTAATGATCAGTTTGTCATTGCTAAATTTTCTGGTATAGTTGATATCGGTGATATCATCTTACATGACACACTGTATGTTCCTTCTTTTAATGTTCATCTTATTTCCATTCCCAAACTAACCAAAACACTTAATTGTGTAGTCGTCTTTTGTGAAACTGACTGTGTCATTTTACAGAAACCTACCTTCAAGAGGATTGGAGTAGCTAAACAACAGTCTGGACTATTTCACCTTGTTCAACACATACCAGCATCTGTCAGTTCCACTCTCACCAACACCTGTAGCATTGTTTCAAATTCTGTTAACAATGTATCCCTTGATTTGAGTACAATATGGCACTATAAACTAGGCCATCCTTCAAATCATGTACTGCAAACTTTATCTTCTCAGTACAAATCAATAAAACTTCCCTTTGTGCATGCATGTGATATTTGTTCATTTGCTAAACAGAGAAAACTTCCCTTCCCCAATAGTACTCACAGAACAAGTCATTTCTTTGAGCTAATCCATGTTGATATTTGGGGACCTCTTTCTATTAGTTCCATTGAAGGTCATAAATACTTCTTGACCATTGTAGATGATTTCAGTAGGTTCACTTGGATTCATCTACTCAAACATAAACACGAAGTCAAAGTTCTTTTGTCCAGTTTCATCCTTTTGACTGAAAATCAACACAACTGCAAATTAAAACGCATAAGGTCTGATAATGGCAAAGAATTCTTCTTAACTGACTTCTATAATTCTAAGGGAATTCTTCATGAAACCAGTTGTGTTGAAACCCCCCAACAAAATGGAATTGTTGAAAGAAAACACCAACATCTAATGAATGTTTGCAGAGCTCTCCTTTTCCAGTCTAAAATTCCAAAAACCTTCTGGTCTTATGCTGTAAAACATGCCACCCACCTCATAAACAGACTTCCTTCTAACTTCCTTAAACAAAAATCACCTTATGAGTTGGTGTTCAATCAAAAACCTGATCTGGAAGAACTGAAAAATGTTTGGATGTCTTGCTTATGCTTCCACTATTTCTGCTGGCAGAACCAAACTTTCTCCTAGAGCATCAAAATGCCTTTATCTTGGTCAAAAACTTGGGACAAAGGGTCATGTTCTATATAACCTTCATTCTCATTCCACTTTCACATCTAGACATGTTATCTTCCATGAAAACATCTTTCCATACACATCTTCTAGTCCAAACTCTTCTAATTCAGTTGACCACTCCACTGAAAAGGATACTACCTTTGATTCCTATGAGCTTTATTGTTTGCCTTCATCTTGCCCTGTTGAAACACCTCCTCTACAAGACAATAATGCACAAACCACCCAATCAAATACACAAAGCACCCATATCCCACTTAGAGTTTCCACCAGAACCAAAACAAAGCCTAACTACTTGAACCAATACCACTGCTACAACAGTGTCTCCTCATCTTCAAATAATACTTCAAATTCCTTCTACCCTATGCATTCACACTTATCATACACTAAATGCTCACAAGCTCACACCACATTTTGTCACAACATTTCTACACATGTTGATCCCACCACTTTCAAACAAGCCATCACTGAGAATTGTTGGAAAGAAGCCATGATGCATGAACTTGATGCTTTGCTGAAAAATAATACTTGGTCACTGGTTCCTCTTCCATCAAACAAGAAATTGATTGGATGCAAATGGGTCTATAGAACTAAATACAAGGCAGATGGTTCACTCGATAAGCATAAGGCACGTCTAGTAGCAAAAGGATTTACGCAGACAGAAGGACTTGACTATTTTGAAACCTTCTCACCTGTTGCAAAGCTGACCACAGTGAGATTTCTTCTAGCTCTTGCCTCAATCAATAATTGGCATTTACATCAACTTGATGTAAATAACGCCTTCTTACATGGAGACCTTGTTGAAGAGGTTTACATGAAACCTCCTCAAGGATTAAACCCTTCAGACCCAAAGCTTGTTTGCAAACTAAACAAATCCCTTTATGGCCTGAAACAAGCTGGCAGAATCTGGAATCAAAAGCTAAATTCTGAACTCATATATCTTGGGTACAATCAAAGCTCAGCAGATCATTCTTTATTCATCAAAACTCAAGGATCTTCCATCACTATTCTACTGATTTATGTGGATGATGTGATCCTAAGTGGCAACAATTTGGCAGAAATCCAAACTGTGAAAAACCATCTCCATCAAAAGTTTGAAATCAAGGACATTGGTCCTCTAAAATTTTTCTTAGGCCTGGAACTTGCCAGATCTGAGAAGGGGATAGTTCTAAACCAAAGAAAATATTGCTTGGAACTTATTGATGAATTTGGTTTACTTGGATCTAAACCGGCATCCACTCCTTCCGATCCTTCTATCAAACTTCATGCTGATGATGGTGACCTTCTGGATGATCCAACTACTTTTAGACGGCTCATAGGCAGATTATTATATCTAACCAACACTAGACCAGACATTAGCTTCTCAGTTCAAAACTTAAGCCAATTTGTATCTCAACCAAGAACACCACACATGCAAGCAGCCATCAGAATAATCAGATACCTCAAAGGATCTCCTGGACTTGGATTATTTTATCCATCCAATAACCCTCTAAAGATTCAAGCCTTTTCAGACTCTGATTGGGCTACATGTGCTACTACACGCAGATCAGTTACTGGCTACTGTGTCTTCATTGGAGCATCCCTCATTTCATGGAAGTCCAAGAAGCAATCAACTGTAGCAAGGTCATCATCAGAAGCCGAATACAGAGCTTTGGCTTCACTCACATGTGAGCTTCAATGGCTAGAATACCTTTCAGATAGCCTACACACAAACATTCCAAAACCTTACTCTGTATTCTCTGACAGTCAATCTGCAATAGCCATTGCCAAAAATCCCACTTTTCACGAAAGAACAAAACACATTGAAGTGGACTGCCATGTTACCAGAATCAAACTACAGCAAGGATTAATACATTTACTTCATGTTTCCTCTGCGAATCAAATTGCTGACAGTTTTACAAAATGTCTGTATCCACAGCCTTTTCAACAAGCTATATCCAAGTTGGGCCTTTTGAATATTCATGACCCAACTTGAGAAGGGGTATTAGATATAAGCAACTACTTTTAGTTTGTTTTAGTTGAAAGGTTGTTAGCTGAGTCAGTTAGTCAGCTATTTGTATAAATACTGCACATATGGCATTTTGTAAGTAAGCTTCCATTTTCTAATACATTCAGTTTTCTTTCTTCTTGATTCTGCCGACTATCAACAAACTATCAAACACCGGCCAAAAAGGTTCTACCTAAGACGATATTATTGAGACTACACTTAAAGTATCTCTACTAGAGTCCGTGGACGTAGCTTAAATAGGGTGTTAGACAGATTTTGCGATGAGATGGAGAGGCTCACTAATTTCTTCAAGTAACTGAATCATAGCTTCACTAATTTTCTGTTAACTTGTGATTAAAATCCAATTTACATTCTCTCAAGTAACTATCCTAAAAAACTAGCTCTAAGAGGTTAGATGGTCATCAACTCATTATTTGAAGAAAATCTCCCGAATTCACTGATTTGACTATTTGAACCAAAGAATTTCAACTAAAGGAAAAGTGGGAACCACGAAGTTGTTCTATATCTCAAACCGCCCCTTGTCATATCCTCGCCCCTCGAAGCTGAACTGGTTTCAACCCATTTTGCGGTGAACTGGG